TTGCATTTTTATTTTATTGGTGTGACTCTCAAAAGGATTAGACTTAAACTGTCTCAAGTTAGAATATTACTTGTATTCAACATGGACAGGATAATCCTTGAAGACAAGACTAACAATATATGGGCAATCAATTTAAACAATAAGGAGCATGCAATGTGGCCAACTTTTGGATCAAAAACCTAAATGCGTTGCATGCAGATTTGGGAAATAATGTGCCATTTAATTCTTTTAGTACACGTGGTTATTATTATTGAGAGATAAATCATAAAATTATTTTTACTTGTCCCTATGAATATTCTGTAGAAATTATATTTGAATATAAACAAACCACAATGTCTTGCAAAAGAATTCGAACTCAGTCACTTAGCTATATAGTAAGGATGACAGAATCGCAGATGTATTGTATGAATGTATGTATGTATGTATTGTATATCATTCATTTAAGTTGACAGGCTGAGCAATAAGAGCATTAGTGGCGTTTGCAGCCAAAAGGCCATGGTAAAATATAAAACTGCAGAAATTCACTGCTTAGGTTGGATAGTCTGCTGGTGGGGGAATCTTTAGTATTCAACCTCACCTTTGATCTTCCAAATTCATTCCTTTCAAAACAATTCAGAGATTTGTTTATAACCTGTCAAATGAAAAAAATCTCAAGAGGTACAAAAAAGTTTGCAAGGTGCTTTTTTTTTCATATATGTAATATGTTTTCTTTTAACCAAATAGAAATAGACAATGTATAATCTTCTCTAAACTTCAGGTTTTAAGGACAAAATATATATATATATATAAAAAAAGCATACTTGCAGAAATATTTAACAATCATTCACAAAGTTTTAAAGTTTACACAAGTAAACTCCTTTCAAACTCTCTGCACAGGTTCTTTAGGCACTGCTGGGAGGATCTGCAACAAGACATCCCGGGGCACGGACGGATGTGAGGTCATGTGCTGTGGGAGAGGATACGACACCACCAGAGTCATGCAAATCACTAAGTGTGAGTGCAAGTTCAAATGGTGCTGCGCAGTGGAGTGCAAGGACTGCGAGGAGGCTGTGGACATACACACGTGCAAGGCCCCAAAACGAGCTGAGTGGTTGGACAAAACCTGAGGAGCCATTGTCCTTGTTTACCATCAAATGCTGCCCCCCCCAATAGCCCTTTGCAGGACACGGTATGGAACGTGGCATTCTGGGAAAGTCTGAGCAAGAGTGATCTGCATCTCTGCCCCCAACCTTGTTTCATCATTGCATGGCTTTTTTTTTTTTGTTGTCCCCGTCTGTGAAAGCACTAGAATATCCATCATATTGATTCAACACACGTACCCTCCTGTTTGTGAATGTGATTAAGCTGATGGAGTAAACTGAACTGTAACAGTCAAGAATAGCAATTTAATCACATTTTGATCCACATATCCATTTTTGCTTGTGTGTCATACTACATTTGAAATGGTTTGCTGCTTTTGTGATACGTTAAAAACAGATGTTACTTGAGCCTTTTAACATATCCAGTATTATTAACAGCATCGTATCATATACTCACATACCTTTGCTTTGTTTTGTTTATTTTTTTGTGTTTTTTTTTGTCTTTTTGGGGGAGGATGCTAAACTTCAATCTATTTAGGAAAAAAGGAAAAATCATGCTTGGTTTGACTGTGAACAGTACATTCTAAAGTGCAATTCAAGATGTGTTTTTTAAAACATGTATTATGCAACGCATGGCCAAACAAGTGTCCAGAGAGAGAGGACTGATTGAAAGGACAACACATGAATTTAAGATAATGGACAAATGCATCACTGGAGCATAGAATGACACTGTTTAAAGGAGACAAAAACTTTAAGTGGATTATTTAAATTGTAAAGTGTTGTTTCATTCCTCATCTGCTGATGAGACTGCACTACTTTGGATGATGCAAGGAGGGAGAAGAGCACTTGCATTACTGTGATTATACAGTGAGTTTTAGTTTTTTGTGTGATTATAAAAATGTGCTGCTGAGAAGAAGACAAAGAAAACTGAGGCCTTGGTGGGTCACCCTTCAACCACGACATCCACAGGTTTCACCTCTCTGCTTTCAAGCTTGCTTGTATAACATTTTGTATACTGCGCTATCTAAAAAGATGTTCCTATAAAGTATATGCTGAATTGGTTTGCTGCTGATTTTTAAATCACATTCGCGTAAATGATAGTAGGTAGAGTGAAATGACCTTTACCAAACAGTACAAAGAGCATTTTTGTATTTCAAAGCGAAGAATAAGCAGTGTTTCTGAAATGACAGAATATGACAATAGAGTACTAATAATATAAAGTATAGTACTATGCAAATGCTTTAAATTAGCCCTTTCTGTTTCCCAATATGACTTCAAGATGCTGAGGCTTCTTTTAACATTAGAAGTAGTATTGATAAATGCTTTGTTTAAAGTTTCCATGTCTTTAGTCCAGTACAGTGGTCTTCCCCCCTGGTCTATAGGCTTTAGGTGTTTCAGATCTGTATCTGCCCCAAACGCACCCAAATCAAATGCTTGCCGACACCAAAGGCTGAAGAAGCTTCTTAATTACCCATATATTTAGACCAGGTATGTGGAGGCAGGGAAACTAAAACATACAGGACAGTGGCTCCAGATATTTCAGCAAATACCAATGAATGTTAAATGATAGAAGAAAGTCATCTACCTTCAATTTATCTATTGTGTCCTAAATGTTCATTTAACAGCCTATTTTGAGTTCTAAACGAAGGTGTGAAGATTTTTTCCCCCGTGGCCCATCATACTATTTTACTGCTAAACTGTGAAGATAAACAGCTTTATGTAAATAATTGTGCAACATTGCAATTTGCATTCATCCTAAAATGTGGCATATATAATTTGATGATAAGCTTTAACAAACCATTTTTTCTAGTATTTGTTAAAGGTGCCCAGTCAAATACCACTGTATGACTATACCAAAAAACTACACCCGTATGTTCATGTTGAAATAAAGCAATATATGGCAATTATCCTTCTTGATAGTTTTTACTTAGTCCTTGTTGGCCATGAAAATAACTTTTGCACTGGGCTCAATCACCAGACATAAATATTGTTGTAAACTGCTGCTGTCGGCTGACTGTAGACATCCATCAACTTTCCAGCCTTATCAGCTTAGGTTCTCATCTCACTGAAGACCTACATTCATATTGTATTCCCAGCACTGATCCTGTCTTATCCCTTTTAGCATCAAGAGGAATAAGATGCTTTTTTAATCTTTGGACTTTCTTTGGAATCTTGGACTTTTTCTTTTTTATTTTACACCTCCGTTTGAAGTTGCTGAGCAAACTTACTTTGTTGGCTAGCAATATCGTCCCTCCAGTCATGTTATCTTTTCATTCCAAATACTCAAAGTGGTTGTTGACAATCTTAAGCCTTTTCACAAGATAAACCCCAATTGTTTTATTATTTAGATATAGAAAATAAAGGTTGTTGTCATTGCATATTTTTATAAAAAAAAGAACATCAGAGCTGTTCTGAGAACTAGCTAAAAGACTTACATGAAAAAAATGAGATAATAAATCATTAACCTCAAATTCTTAATATCAAACATCCAAATTGTTATATTGTATTAAATGCACCAATCACCTAACAACCTCTTCATTTCAGAAGTCAATTGAAATGGGCATTTGTTCTCTAAAGGGACTGCAGCTGTTAGCTTAAGCGGTTTCTCAAAGCTTTTTGTTAAAAAATATATCACAAAGCTATGCCCTTGTTGACTTAAATCTCAAACTGTTGCAACATCACAGTAGCAACATGCAGGAATACAATTAACACAGGAATACACATTCAGAAAGCTGTTCATTAAGCTATGCATGAAGGGGAGAGAGAATAAGGCAAAAATGAAAGGGGGAGTTGACCTTAAAAAAACAGCCTGGACTGAGGGTTCAGAATTTTGATTTAAAAAAGCATCCCAAAAACAGTTGCAGGTAGCAGCTCTGCCATCTAACCGGTGTTACAGTATGTTGTGCAGGTGTGGGAAACCCCATGCTCGAACAAAACTGATCTTAAGCGCCGTAACATATGATGTACTTATAGATTATGCTCTACTATCCTCTTGGAAACTTTACCTAAACTTAAAGGCTGGTTACAGTGCTTGACTCATTTACATTCCCTGTGTATATGAGACATGCAGAAAGTTGGTATTGCAGCAGACTCTAGAAGGGAGTGTTTACCTTGCATGCTAGATGAATTGTCATGCAATTTTGATATTCAAAAACTCACGAAAATGCATCATGCCATAAGCTAATAGATGCATTATTCAATATATGTATTATTTATATAGGAATGTTTGCAAAGTCCAATGAAATGCAATGATGTGTACGACGTTAACGTGTCAACAAGAGGCGGAAGGCTGAAGCAAAATAAAGATGGCTGCAGTGGTTTAGGCTGAAACCCTCTTACTTTTGAAAAAAAAAGGGGCAGAAGAACGTAACTTTTGTCTCTTGTGGATGGAAAGATGGTTGCGTGTTCCTCTCAACCGGATTTAGTAACAGTTTGATTTATCAGTTAACGCCGCTAGTTGTGAAATAAATCTAAAACTTGATTTTTTAAAGCTGCTACTGTTGCTGTGATAGGCTAATTAGCTCGAAGAATTTAACTGAATGTATCTTTTTTTTGCAGGAGGCTTTCCAGATTCATACTATGTATGATTCAAGTTGAACTACACTTATCAATTTAGTTTATGCTAGGTTATGGGAGTTTAGCGAACCAACTGCAACTATGAAGAATTAGGAGGACTGCATTTTACAGCAGCATACAGCATCATTGTATCTTTTTCACTCTTTTTTACTCTTGTCTTGTTATGCCAGATCGTTAAGCCAATTAAAATGGCTTCTGAACACAGGTCAACATTTAAGCCTACACAGAACCTTATTCAAGCCCTTACATCTGGGTTTACGGTTTTCATGCTTGAAACGGATATGATTACTGAGAAATACATCAAAATCAAATTATAAAACTCATAAATTAAATAAAACAAGCCAAAAAGGCACCATAATTTATCCCGAAAGGGTTAAAATGCCACCAGGGTGTTACAAGATCATGGTCTCTTAATTGGTAAATACATTTTTTACCAACATAGAAATTTGTAAAGACAGTAGGTGACGTAATGGCTTTATAGATTCCCTTACAAGAGCTTTGTGACCAAAAATATCATACTCATGCTGTGTGTCTGTCACTCCATATGTAAGCATTGTTGCCTCTTGGTGTGGCTCCAAAGTGTTTTTTTTTTTTTTTGTTGACAAATTAAACTTACAGGATTGTTTGCAATCTGTGTACAGAGCTTCAAACATTTAACCCAAGATTGTCAGCTGATCATTTAAGCATGACTAAAATAAACAAGACATCTACATCAAGACTAAATTGGTGAATTAGCTGAATTACAAAACATTAGTTCATCATAGATGACACACATTACTCATCTGCATGACAGGTCTTGATGTTTCACAAAATGTGATTTACCGTTTTATATTTATGCTCCGATACATGTCACAAGATAAACTGCCTGACAGCAGTTTTTGTATTTTTTTCTTAGAATCAGTTGCAGAAACAGCAATTACTTGAGTTTTAGCAGACATTAGTAACATTTAACCAAACGTTATTTAGTATAGTCTCATTACTAAGTTGTTTAAATACCATCACTGTTTGACCAGTTCATCCCTTTAGTATAGAAAACATTTAATGCATGAATGAAACTTGGGTCAATATTTCCCTCTCTCTCTCTCTCTCTCTCT